CAGGCGGAGGATTAGCCTAGTGAGCTGCGGCGCTGGCAGAGCCTGGTTTAAGTTAGAAGACCTAGGCCAGCCTGGTTTTAAGATAGAAGACCCAGGTGGCGCCCATTTGGGGGGTGAACCAATGGATGGAAGAGCTCTCTCTCTCTCTCTCTCTGCCTGTCAAAAAAAAAAAAAAAAAAGTTAGAAGATCCAGAAAATATTTTCATTCAGATTTCTGAGGGAATTCCATTGTCTAACATCCTAGAATATACTTACATCACAAAGAAAGTGGAGGTGATTGCCCAAGTTTCAGAGGGTATCTTGAAAAAATCAGATTGCCATAGCAAAGCAAATGAGGTGGGGCTTGCTGCTGAATTATCTACCTTAAGGTAGTAATTTTGTTTCCCATTACATATGTAGAAAAATCTACTGCTTAAAGAACAAGAAATCTAAGCTGAGTTCGTCTTAGCCACCCAACTTCATCAAATGATCAAATGGTATATCATATAAAGTTATCAAAAAGTTCTGATAAAATATGCCAACATTAACAATTACATTTCTAAATAAAAAGACTATACAGGAACTAGCTGCTAGTTTTAAAGAGCAAAGCATGTGTATTCTTGCAATGGGTAAAAAAGTGCAGATGGAATTTTTTACTGTTGTTTCAAAGAAGTTCTGCTGAATTTGAAGTATTTTCTTTGAATAATTATGTTTGACAGATATAAAGGTTAATGTTAGCAAGGTAATTAAAATTAATGATAGTAATGTCTACTGGGCTATGTCTATGCAGGTGTTTCCCTCCACTGTTCCACCCAACATAAAAATGCCTGATACATAAAATTCTAAGTTGATACATAATACATTAGTAGTACATTATTTTCATTCCTCCCCCAAACCATAGAATTTCTTCATGTAATGTGCTCTTGTGGGTTTCTGGCATAATGTGATTTTTTTAAAAAAGTATATTAGGTTTTACAAATTGTAAAGTATATACTTGGGGCCGGTGCTGTGGCACCGTGGGTTAACGCCCTGGCCTGAAGCGCCCGCATTCCATATGGGCACTGGTTCGAGACTCAGCTGCTCCACTTCCTGTCCAGCTCTCTGCTGTGACCTGGAAAAGTGGTAGAAGATGGCCCAAGTCTTTGGACCCCTGTACCCACATGGGAGACCCGGAGGAAGTTCCTGGCTTCTGGCTTCGAATCAGTGTAGCTCCGGCTGTTGCAGCCAATTGGGGAGTAGACCATTGGATGGAAGACTTCTCTCTCTCTCTCTCTCTCTCTCTCTCTCTGCCTCTCCTCTCTCTGTGTAACTCTTTCAAGTAAAATAAATAAAATAAAGTATATACTCATTATCTAAATTGAGCAGATTCTATTAAAGGCATGGTTTCCATCCTTCATAACAAAGTTGTGAAATCAAACGCTACCCAAAGGCATAAGCATTTGGCTTAGTGATTAAGATGCCGTATCCCACTCTGGGAGTACCTGAGTTAGATTCCTAGCTCTGGCTTCTGACTTCATATTCCTGTCAATGCACAGCCTTGGCTGTAGCAGTGATGGCTCAAGATATTGGGTTCATATCACCCATGTGGGAGACTAATATCAAGTCCAGCTCCTATCTCTCTGGGCATTGGGGAAATGAATCAGCAGATGAGAGATTTCTCTCTCAAGTTAGTAGGAAGTAAGTAAGTAAATAAATATTCAAACAATTACCCAAAAGTCTTTGAATTTTCTATTAAGCCAAGCAGTTTCCTACTAGGACAGCATGCAAAACTTCTTATTTTGATATTTAACATGGAAGTTTACATCTATTTACCTATTTATCTAGTCACCTATCTATATATATCTAGTCCTCAGCATGGGGAAAATTAAGAGTAGCAAACTAGAAAAGAGGAAAATTTGAGGCCAGCACAAATACAATGCCACATAAAGTAACATTACAAGGATAGACAAACAATTCAAAATACTACCAAAAAAATTCAGCATATTATTCTACTAACATGCCACATATGAATGGATACTTAGGATGATACTGAGCCATCCCAGCTTAATTAACTTGCATATAATACATACTGATGTGACAAATTGTATTCTCCAAAGATGACCAATATAATGACTTCTGACTACATGTTCTTTAATGTTCTTTGCCACTTTCCCACTCATGAGAGGAGCTTAAGATCCTTCCTTTGAATCTGCACTGACAAATATAATACGGTAGAAGTCAAGTTGCTTCACTCTTGAGGTTGAGTCATAAAAAGTGATGCAACCTCTGTCTTACTCACTGGAATACCTGTGCTGGAGCATCGAGGCTCCAAGTTAGAAGTTGAACCGTATTAGATGGCAAGGTGTTCCAGTTAATAGCCCATGCTGAGCTCCCAACTTGGAAGTCCAGCCTAGTAGTCAGCAGAGGGTTGCAACCCCAGGAGACATCTGAAGGAAACTACCCAAGAGTACCCTAATAAGAACTACCTTGGCCCAATCAACAGGACCATGAGAGACAATGCCAAACTGCTGTTTTAAGCCATATGTTTTGGAGTGATTTGGAACAGCTAATTAAAAAGTTAGTGATACATACAGAGCTTAACAACATTTTACAACATTCACATGAGTATGTGTTTCATGCTACAAAGGAAATGTGGTAGGGTTAAGTGCTTTATACAGATTCTATTATTTAATTTTCACAATCACTTTTTTTGAGTTGATAAATCTTATTTCAGAAACATGAAACTTAAAATTACTTTTTACAAGATCTTTTCAACAAACTTTTCTTTCATGACAGCTTCTTGAATTATGTATTTAAGGTCTAACTTATTCTATTTAGCAACTCTATTTTATTTTAAAAATAAATTAAAGATTTTTTTGTTTACTCTTTGCAGTTCTTCCTACTCTTGCCCATTAATAAATGATTCTTGGTTGTTTGTTCATATTTATAAAAAAGGATAAATATCCGAGGTTCTTGGCAAGTAATATCACAAGCAAGGAGCATTTTTTGAAAATTGGCGAGTCATTATCTACTGTTCCAGTGTTTGTAGTATTCTGGGATTTAGGGGAGGAGTGCCAGGAAAGTTGAACATCCTATCATTATAGAATGTATTGGGAAGCTTGGTGCAACAAGAATTGTCCTGTGTTCTATATGGTTTTCAAATGTCCTACCAGACAGTAGCACTGTTAAAAAAAAAAACCCTTTTTTTCCATATTTGAGTCTGGAACAAAGCTTCATATTCATATAAACCCAAAATATTTTTTTTCATAGTTTTAATATATTAAAATTTCCAGTCTTAAAAATATGGTGCAGACTGATGAAAGATTGTTCTTTAGTTTTCCAGAACTTTACTGGAAGTTGCTTATCATTTAGGACAGTCACATGACTGACAGCAATGTGTTCCTGCCATTTAAATTAACAATACAATGTACCTGTATAAATTTACATTCATGGATATCACATTGGTAGCAAATGTTTGCGTAGGTGCAAGCACTTGATGATTACATCTCCTAGTATGATAGCAACCAAGCATTCATCTATTGAAATACCAGCTATTTTCATTTTAAATCATTATCTTCTTATTTGTCATCTGTAGTACATTTAGGATATATTTTTGATTTTTATAAATTATGGGTGTAGTTAGGTAAATTGCCTATAATTTTTATTGCAGAAAAATAAATGGCATGTTAGAAATAATTATAAAAAGAATTGACATTCAGCCGGCATCACGGCTCACTTGGCTAATCCTCTGCCTGCGGCGCCGGCACTCTGGGTTCTAGTCCCAGTTGGGGTCCCAGTTCTGTCCCGGTTGCTCCTCTTCCAGTCCAGCTCTCTGCTGTGGCTCGGGAAGGCAGTGGAGGATGGCCCAAGTGCTTGGGCCCTGCACACCCGTGAGAAACCAGGAGGAAGCACCTGGCTCCTGGCTTTGGATCGGTGCACCGCACTGGCTGTGGTGCACCAGCCGTAGTGGCCATTTCAGGGGTGAACCAACAGAAAAAGAAGACCATAGGAAGAAGGAAAGATGGAAATGTCTAATCATTTACGTTTTCCCTAAGGATCCCTATCTGCTGGGATGTTAGAAGTTACTCAGAGCATCGCTCTGCTTCTTTTTCTAGTCCAGTGCTGATTCTAGGGGTATCTAAGCGACAGATCATGCAGTTCCCTTACAGAGATGTTCTCTTAGCCCTAGCTTAGGAGTAAATACCTGAGCCAGCAGCTCTAAAGGGTAGGGAACTGGATCAGCTATTTCACAACCCTTTAATTAATGACCCTGCTGACTGCCCCAGGTCCGTTCCTTGTCTTCCCCCATGATCCCTGGACTTTTTCCCTATGGTTCTACTTAATTCACTGTTTCAGCAGTCTCGTCTTTCACCTCTACTGTGTTTTGGAGTCCTTTGTTCAGTTTGGCTGTACCTTCAATTTTATTCCATCTGTTGTGTAGTATCAAAAAATGCCTCAATATTTATTCCACCCTTTCAGGTTTTCAGGACTGTGGATACATTTTTATATTTATTTTCCCACTTAAAGAGACTTTAGATGGAAGTACAGGTAAAGACATGTCTCAATCAGTTGGAGGCCATTTTGCATGCACACTCTAAGTAAATGTTTTCTCCCTACAGTTGCTGTATTATCATCTTTATTAATTAGCTATCAATTTAGGGTAAGTGAAATAATACATTTAAGTTATACTATCAGACTTGACACTTTATTATTGCTCAATGAATTGTCAAAAAAAAAAAAAAAAAAAAGTGAGGGGCTGGCGCTGTGGCTCAGCAGATTAACGCCCTGGCCTGAAGTGCCAGCATCCCATATAGGCATCAGTTCAAGTCCCGGCTGCTCCACTTTTGATTCAGCTCTCTGCTATGGCCTGGGAGAGCAGTAGAGGATGGCCCAAGTCCTTGGCCCCTGCACCCACCTGGGGAGTGAACCAGCGGCTAGAAGACCTCTCTCTCTCTATCTCTGTCTCTGCCTCTCCTCTCTCTGTGTAACTCTGACTTTCAAATAAATAAATCTTTAAAAAAAAAAAAGTGAAAAGAACTTACAGTCCATATCAAGTATGGCGCGGACGGATTTAACCAGTTCTTTACATTCATGCAGGAGGGTTGCGGGCATGTTTCTCCCACTCCTTCCCAGTGGTGTCAGGGAAGTCTGAGAAGTGAACATAGCTCTTCGTTCACTGTGGGGGCAATAAAACAAAGGTTAACTTATTGTACAAGAAGTACCATCTACTTTTGCTAAATTTGAATGTGTAGCACTCATAAATTTGTATAAAATATTTATATTTCTAGGAACAATATATTCTAATATCCACAAATTAAGTCATTAACATAAAATATTTCTGTTTTCAATTTTTCATTATATAATAAATAGGTATATTTAAAGTTAGTGTTTTTTTTTAAGGATGAAGGAACAGAAGGATGGCCCACCATTTTAAATTATTTGTTGGGGTTATTTTGTGACTGCCTGTGTTTTGCTAACATGATATAGCCTTATATTTGGTTTTATGAAAATTCAAATTAAGCATATAAACAAATTTATTCAACATTTACTACTATGTGTAGTAATAATAAAAATAAATTCTCTCTGTATATTTGCTCCTGAAATTACCTCTTAAATACTTCCATTTGTTACCCCTAAATCTGAAAGAATTCAGAGCACTTGTACCACTTCGTAGAAATGCAAATGTCACCTAAAACGAATGCATTCTGATATAATTAAAAATGTGATGCAAAGTTTTCACCCCCAAAAAACATTAAAACTTTTACTTGAAAAGATGTGATTTTAAACTGAGGATAACACCATCACTGTTGCTTAATAATCCATCTTCTTAAGCATATTCATCAGGAAAAATTACAGCATCAATTTTCAAATTCAAATACATGGTTTTTAGTCTGTGTCAAATGTCCCTGGCAGGTATCCATACAGAAGATATGGCATAGAAAAATAAAAAAAAGGAACCAGATATTACTAATGTTCAACTTTCTAAGACATGGTGAAAAGTTTTTTTTTATTTCTTTTAATATTTATTTTATTTATTTGAAAGACAAAGTTACAGAGAGGTAGAGACAAAGAGAGAAAGGTCTTTGATCTGCTGTTTACTCCCCAAATGAGTCACTTCCCCAAATACATATACATAAAACTGCTATGGCACAGTGCCAGCCCTGGTAAAAAATTTCTTAATGTAACTTTTTAATAAGTTTCTTTTTTCTATGAAGCAGTTTAAGGCAAGAGTAGATTCTGGCTTTTAAGCAGTTATTTAAAAATTTGATTTATAATATAAAAATCTTTGAATTATTAGTCAAAGTCAAAATGAGATTATGGGAATGAGGGTGGAGTTGGTGGACATACTTAACTCATACAAGGAAATATACTGAGTAATTTAAGATTCTTACTGAAAACAAAATCTTGGAATTCATATAATTATAATATAGCAGCATGGATAACAATAAAGTCATATTTCCTCATTATAAGAAATAAAATATTACATTAAAATGGGTTTAAAAGTGAGCAACTAGGGAACAGTTGTCTAGCCTAATGATTAAGATGGTTGCAACCCACACTGATGTGTCTTAGTTAGATTCCTTGCTGTGACTCCTGACTCTAGCTGCATGCCAATGCACATCCTGCCTGAATTACATTCCTGGTTCTTAGCTCTGGTCTTTGTACCAGTCCTGGCTGATGTGAGCAATTGGGATGGGGAAACAGGATAGGCACTCTATCTCCTGTTGCTGTTTAAGTCCCTAAAATGAAATTATAATTTTTTTCTAAAGATTTATTTATTTATTTGAAAGTCAGAGTTACACAGAGAGAGGAGAGGCAGAGAGTTACAGAGAGAGAGAGAGAGGGGTCTTCCATCACTCCCCAATTGGCTGCAACAGCGGGAGCTTCACTGATCCGAGGCCAGGAGCCAGGAGCTTCTTCCAGGTCTCCCTCGTGGGTGCAGGGGCCCAAGGACTTGGGCCATCCTCCACTGCTTTCCCAGGTCACAGCAGAGAGCTGGACCAGAAATAGAGCAGCTGGGACTAGAACCAGCGCCCATATGGGATACAGGTGCTTCAGGCCAGGGTGTTAACTTGCTGTGCCACAGCGCCAGCCCCAATACTTTGGTTTTTAAAAAAGATCATTTATTTGAAGGGCAGAGTTAGAGAAGGGGATCAGAGAGAGGAGAGAGAGACAGAGGAGAGAGAGGAGAGAGAGGAGAGAGAGGAGAGAGAGAGAGAGAGAAGGGCAGAGAATCTTCCATCTGTTGGTTCACTCCCCTAATATCTACGATGGCTGGAGTTGAGCCAGTCTGGAGTCAGGAGTCAGGTACAGGGGCCCAAGTACTTGGGCCATCCTCCGTTGGTTTCCCAGGAACATTAGCAGGGAGCTCGATCAGAAGTGAAACAGCCAGGACTTGAACCAGCACCCATATGGAATGCTAATGTCATAGGCAGTGGCTTTACCTGCTACACCACAACTCTGGTCCCAATAATAATTAGCTTTAAAATAAAAAAAAGTAGAGTGGATCTAAGATGGTTGAATAGGGAGAAGCCACAATGACCTCAGCAACAGAGATACAAGACAAGCAAAGGAAGGGCCACATTCCCAAGGGACTGACAGAATTTGCAGTGGAGAAGTGACAGAACAAAACAGAGATTCCACAGGACAGTAAGGAAAGAGGACCTACATAGCTGCTGCAGCTGGCCACCCTACCAGTCAACCCTGCATCTTTGCAGCCCACTGCCAGCTGGGAAATAACATCTTCCTAAGACAAGGTAGAAGAAGCTGCTACTCTGTCCTGCCATTGGTGGCTTTAACTGAGAGAGAATTCTACAGTATCCCAGTGAACACAGGTCCAGCCTAGGAAGCTCACTGACGCTCTGAAGCTCACTTTGCTCTGAAAAGTGAAGCTATACTGTCTCCTTCCTCCCTGTCCCCACCCTCCCCTACCCAAGCGAAGTACCACACTCAACTGGCTGTGTAGAGTTGCAGTTGATCTCTGTTCTGACTCAGCAAAACTCAAGTAGTTCCACTGCTACCAAAAGCAGCCAGAGCCAGAGTCAGGACAACTTACAGGGTAGAGAGCAGATCCCCTGCATCCTGCAAATGTGGGAGCTTTGGGCATAAGCCTTGGAGATGTGCTTACTCAGTCTACGTGATCCAGGGTGGGGGCTCCCTTCAGCTTCCTGGAGGTTGGCACCAGTAGCAAACCATCAAACATACACAGAACAAAGCCGAGGAAGTTTCTTCCGTACCTCCTGGCTGATGGTGCTGAGTTCCAGCACAAGCTGCAGGAACACCTTTGCATGCACGTGAGAACTGGGAGCAGTTCCATCTGTGCCTTGCAGAACTAGGACTGTTGATGTTGGTATTACAATCTTTGGAGTATCTTGAGTTTAACTGCAGTATCTGAAGTGCTCTATCTCCATCACTCTGTTTCAATCATGTAGCTACAACCATGTCCAACATCTGGCTCCCAACTTGGAAGATCTGGGTAATGATCCCACTGTATCCTGCAACACCAGTACTATAACAATTGGTACCAGTTTCCTCAAACACACTGGAATATACCGAGTAGGACCTAGGGAAGAACCTGCCTGCATTTCACATCTCCAGACCCTGGCAGTGCAAAACCTCCTGTATACCTTGTGGCCACCCTGTAGGACTGGAATAGCATTCAGTTCCTATCCCACATTCCTGGGACTAGGACTTTTGGTGTCATAATCTCCAGTACTAGCACTCTCCCAACAGCAACTGGGGAAGGTTCTATACATCTCACTGTCCTAGAGCCACAAGTTTTGCTGCCACAAGTGCCAGTATCACTGAGGCTTACCAGTGGGATGAATAGTCAGCCCCTTTTGTATCCCTCAGCACTAAGAACTTGGCCTTGGCTATCACAATCTCCAGTGACAACCTACTCTCTGGGGACTGTTTATATACATCTTAGGAAACCCACATTCAATTCAAACTCACACTTCTACCCCTAGAAACTGCTGCAGACTAGACCACGGGGTCATTTATTGACACCGCTGATACTAATTAAAGCAAAAGAAATTACTCAGAGGTTACACTTCTGGACTCAACTAGAGCCAAAGCCAAAGCAACAAGCCAAGTGATACCTTGCCTTCCATCCAAACTACAAACTCTTTTCATATAAAACACACTCCACAAAGTGACTATTATATTAGATACACAGACAACAATGAAGGCACATAGGAAACATGAAGAAGTAAGGTAGCATGGAGCTCCAAAGAACACAACAGTTCTCCAGAATCAGACCCTGACCTGAAGGAAATCTATGCAATACCAGCAGTAACATTCAAAATAATGCTTGCAAGGAAATCTACTGAGATGCCAGAGAACACAGATAGTTTAAGGAAATGAGGAAAACAATAGGTGACATGAATGGAGCATTCACTACAGAGATAGAAATCATGCAAAAGAACCAAACTAAAATTTTGGAGATGAAAACTTCAATTGATGAAATAAAAAAGCACAAATGAGTACTGCAACAGAACAGACCCAGGTGAGGAAAGAACTTCTGATATGGAAGATAAGACTTTTGAAATAACTCAATCAGACAAAAATAAAGAGAAAAGAATGAAAAAGAATGAAGACCACCTATGTGAAATATGGGATACCATAAATCAACCATAAATCAACTAAATATTTGCATTACAGGGATTCCTGAGGAGAAGAAAATAAAAATAGTGTTGAGAACCAATTAAATGAAACAATAGATGAAATTATTCCAAGTTTTGAAACAGACATGGATATCTAGATACAGGAAGTTCAAAGGACCCCAAGCAGACTCTATAAAAGGATATTCTATAAGGCTTCTTCTATATAGAAGATCTATAAGGATCTTCTAGTCAAGTTGTTAGAAGTTAAGGGCAAGGAGAGAATCCTAAATATAGTAAGGCATTAAGTTACACACAAAGGAAAATGAATTAGTCTAATAGCAGACTGCTCAGCATAAACCCTACAGGCCAGAAGACAGTGTGATAATATATTCAAGGTCTTAAAAGAAAAAAAAAAAACTTCCAACCAAGAGTATTATATCCAGGGAAGCCATCCTTTATAAGTAAAAGAGAAATTTACCAGATATAAAAAAACTGAGAGAATTTCTTGCATAAGACCAACCTTGTAAGAAATTCTGAAGGGAGGCCTACGTTAGAAGTAAACATATGACACTATCAAATTCACTAACAGAGTAGGTAGAATCAGTAACCAATCAAGAAAAGTGATGGGGCCAGCGCTGTGGCCTAGCGGGTTAACACCCTGGCCTGAAGTGCCAGCATCCCATATGGGTGCCGGTTCGAGACCTGGATGCCCCACTTCCGATCCAGCTCTCTGCTGTGGCCTGGGAAAGCAGTAGAAGATGCCCCAAGTCCTTGGGCCCCTGCACCCACGAGGGAGACCCAGAAGAAGCTCCTGGCTTCAGATCGGCGCAGCTTCAGCCGTTGCAGCCATCCGAGGGGTGAACCAGAGGATGGAAGATCTCTCTCTCTCTCTGCCTCTCCTTCTCTCTCTGTGTAACTCTGCCTTTCAAATAAATAAATAAATCTTAAAAACAACAACAACAACAAAGTGACAGTGTTGGTTATTATCTAGCAGTACTAACCCTGAACGTAAATGGATTAAATTCTCCAGCCAAAAGATTTAAGTTGGCTGAATGGATAAAATACGAAGAACACACTATATGCTGCCCTATATAGGCAACTCATTTCACAAATACACACACAGACTGAAAGTGGAGGGCTAGAAAAAAGATATACTGGGAAAACGGAAATCAAAAACAAGCAGGAGTAGCTATACTCAAATCCTATAAAACAGATTACAAATCAAAAACTGTAAAAAGAGACAAAGGACATTATATACTCATAAAAGGATCAATTCAACAAGGTGGTACAACAATGATAAATATATAATGTACCCCACATAAGACCACCCACATATATAAATCAAAGAGTATTAAACCAGCAGGAAGAGACAGACTCTAATACAAGAATAGTGGGAGACTTCAGCACCCATGTCATCAACAGACATATCATCCAGACAGAAAATCAACAAAGATACATCAGAGTTGAATCACACCATTGAACAAATGGACCTAACAGACAATTACAGAATATTTTACCTAACAGCTACAGAAAATACATCTTCTCATCAGCACTTGGAACATTTTCTAAGATAGACCACAAATCAAATCTCAGTAAATTTAAAAAGATTGAAATCATACTATGTACTTCTCAGACTCCAAAGGAATAAAACTAGAAATTAGCAACCAGAACAACAAAAGATTTACAAATACATGGAAATTAAACAACATGTTGCTGAATGACCAGTGGGTCACTGAAGAAGTTAAAAATGAAATAAACAAACTTTCTTGAAATAAAAGAAAATATAACATATCAAAACCTGTGGGATACTGAAAAAGCAGTATTAGGAGGGAAGTTTATAGCAGTAAGTACTTCCATTAAAAAAAAGGAAAGGTCTCAAATAAATGATCTAATGATACATCTCAAGGACTTAGAAAATAAGAACAAACCAAACCTCAAATTAGTAGGTGGCAAGAAATAAATACTCATGTTTGCAGATGACATGATGTTGTCCTGGCTGCTCTTTTTCCAGTCAAGTTCTCTGCTTATGGTCTGGGAGAACAGTGGGAGATGGCCCAAGTGCTTGGGGCTCTACACCTGCACAAGAAACCTGGAAGAAAATCCTAGATCCTGGCTTTTGATCCACCCAGTTCTGGCCATTTTGGCTATTTTGGGAGTGAACCAGTGAGTGGAAGACTTTTTTCTTTGTCCTTCCCTCTCTCTATCTGTAACTCTACCTCTCAAATATCTATCTATCTATCTATCGATCGATATAGATATAGATATAGATAGATAAACAGTGAGCAACTACAGATACCATTCTATGTGGACACCTCAAATTTCTTCATGTATTTCCTTTTTCAAAGTAAAGGTTAGAGCTTTCTTTTGTTTCTGAGGCTTTTCTTTGTTCTTTTGTAGACTGTTATATGTAGAGGACATATCTAGAACCAGTGGTAACTATTACAAGATAAGAATAAAATTACTTTGAAAATATAAAAACAGGAATTTTTCTTTGCTATATTTCTTTAACCATGTATCAAAATGATTGTAAACTCATGGTTTAGAATAAATAAATCTTATTAGTATGCTTGTAGTTTTTGGTAATAAACTTTAAATCTTAAACCTACTCTGAATAATAATAAAATTGAAGTGTATTCTCCAAATGGGTCTCTTTTATTTATAGCTACTGAACTGTAAAACGGAATGAAACTGATTGCATGAATCTATTTCACAAAATTCTGTTTGCTATAACAACAAATCTGCTGGAACGAGAGTGAACTTTCAGTGACCCTATGACCAGTAACATTTATTACATAAAGGATACTTAAAGAACAAGTTAATGTCATCCTTTACAGAATTCTTGACAAAGATAGGATGGATGATTCCTACCTCCATCTTAGAGCATAATTTTAAAGTGATTGGCTACTTCCAGGAATTTCCTTTACACTGAAAGGACCCAAAATAATGTGTCCTTGTCCCTATTTCTAAAAATTACATATGGCATTTGATAGAACTTATATGGCATCTTAAAATTATTTGAGTTATTTAGTACTTTAATCATAATCACCAGGTGGAAATTTTAATCAGTGGCCATAATCTGTGTAAAGCACTTAAATATTCTTACCTTAAATTTGATAAGGGAGCAGAATTATCAGAAAATACTTCTTGAATGGCCTAGCAACAAATAAGATGGTGAAGGAAATATGTAAGTTTAACAGTTTTTAAAGAATGTCTTTTCTTGCTTAATTAACATTTACAAGCTCCCCTACCCAGTGATTAAACAGATGTTTCTACTGTATATGAGAAAAAGATAAATTATATTAATATACAATTCTTGGGAGGGAGGTTATGGGGAGGGGGAAGCTGCTATAATTCAAAAGTTGTACTTTGGAAATTTATATTTATTAAACAAAAGTTTAAAAAAGATACAATTCTACTTAGAAATATAACAGCTATAAAACACTTCTTTATAAGGTCAATATCTATCAAATTATGCTTACCCAGTAATCGGGATTTTTAGGAAAGTATTCACTAAAGCATGGTATAAGGGTTGACACTATGGCACAGGGTGTTAAGCTATTGATGGGATGCCCATATCTCAAATTAGAGTGCTGCTTCTAATCCTGTGTACTCTGCTTCTGATCTGGCTTCCTATTTATGCACCCAGGGAGGCAGCAGATGACAGTTCAAATACTTAGGTCTCTGCCACCCATATGGGAAGACTTGGACGGAGTTCTGGGCTTCTGGCTTTGGCCTGGTTCAGCCTCGGGGGCTGTGAGCATTTGGGAAGTAAAACAACAGGTGGAAGTTTTTTCTGTTTGTCTCCCTCTCTCCATCTCTTTCTCTCTCTCTGTTTCTCTGCCTTTCAAGTGGATGAAAATAAGTGAACATTTTAAAAATGAGTTTACATATGGGATTATGTTAGCCCATTTCTATTATTTCTCTTAATAAGCTTTATACTATAAGTTAGTTTCTTCATTATCTAGGCAATTCTAAATCGGCTGCCAGTCAGTATGGCTGTGCTGAGACTAGAGGATGTCTTATTAGCCAACTAATACCATAATATTTATCTATAGGCCAGTTGCACATACAATTCTTAAAAAAAGTTATAATTCAGGGCCAGCACTGTCATGCAGTAGGTTAATCCTCTGCCTGCAGCCCCAGCATCCCATATGGGCACCGGTTCGAGTACCAGTTGCTCCTCTTCCAATCCAGCTCTCTGCTATGGCCTGGGAAAGCAGTAGAAGATGGACAAGTCCTTGGGTCCCTGTACCCATGTAGGAGACCCAGAAGCAGCTCCTGGCTCCTGGCTTTGGATCAGTGTAACTCTGGCCATTGTGGCCATTTGGGGAGTGAACCAGTGGATGGAAGGCCTTTCTCTCTGTCTCTCCCACTCACTGTCTGTAACTCTACCTCTCAAATAAATAAATAAAATCTTAAAAAAAAAAGTTAGAATGCAATATACAGTGTCCCTTGATATCTACAGCAGGTTGTTTCTATGACCCTGTGGATACCCACACCTGAAACTGCTCCAGTATCTTATATAAAATGGTGCAGCATTTGCATATAATCTTTGCACATCCTCTCACATACTTTATCATCTCTAGATTAATTATTATGTTTGAAAAATGAAAATTTTATATAAATAGTTGTTCGACTGTATTATTAAGGGGAAAATGACAAGAATAAACCATTATAAGCCTAATGAGGATGTATGAAATGACAGGAGACTATAGCAGAGTATGCCTAAACATTACTTCATTTTTGTGGATTCAGCATACTGTTGGCACATGCCAAATTCCAATTTCATTTTTTGGAACTGGAAATTTTCCTGCTGAATATTTCTGATGTGCTATTGGCTGAATCTGTGTATGTGGAATCCATGGATACAAAGGTCTCACTAAAACAGAAAAACTTACCTCTACAAAATGAAGAAGTTTTTCAGTGGATGCCTCATAAGCTTTTCGAGCCATTTCTGATTTCCGCAACTGGCAGTCAAGTACTGTGATTCTTTTTCTTAAATCCTGAACACTTTCCTGGACAGAGATATCAAAAGGAGCATCTTACACATTTATTCAATATTCAATTACTATTTCCTGCTTCCAGTTCTTAAGAACTAAATACTCAGAGGCCATTGTTGTGGCATAGCAGGTTAAGCCTCCATCTCATATGAGTGCTGGTTTAAAACCTGGCTGCTTCACTTCTGATCCAGCTCCCTGCTAATGCACCTAGGAAAGCAACTGAAGATGGCCCAAGTGCTTGGGCCCTTGCACTCTCATCGGAGACTTGGAAGCAGCTCTGGGTTCCTGGCTTCAGTGTAGCCTAGACATGACTGTTGCAGGCATTTGGGTAGTGAACCAACAGATGAAAGATATTTCTCTGTCTCTCTGCAACTCTGCCTTTCAAATAAATAAAAAATATAATACATACATATTTTAAAAAATAATTAATACTTGGGGCCAGCGCTGTGGTGTAGCAGGTAAAGCCACTGCCTGCAGTGCCGGCATCCCACATGGGCGCCAGTTCGAGTCCCAGCTGCTCTACTTCTGATCCAGCTCTCTGCTATGGACTGGGAAAGTTGTAGAAGGTGGTCCAAGTCCTTGAGCCCCTGCACCCACGTGGGAGACCCGGCTTTGGATCAGCTTAACTCCTGCTGTTGTGGCCGTTGAAGCTTACTGGAGAGAGAATCAGTGGATGGAAGGCCTCTCTCTCTCTCTCTCTGTGTCCCCTTCTCTCTCTGTGTAACTCTTTCAAATAGATACATAAATATATATATAAAAAAAAACTAACACTAAATATTTCCACATCATTTAGTTTCACTTACTCTAAGTATCTTCTGACTTTGGGGGAGCATGCATTATTTGCACAGATGCGATTGGCTTTATGAGACAACTTGCATATGACTTTAATTATTCTTATGGGAAAATATTTGTAAATTTAAATTACTTTATAGGGTTGGTTGTGTATTTTTTTTTTGGCAACTTGTCTAACCAGATGCTGACAGAAACCCCTACCAATGTAGCAGAAACTAAAAATGCTAGACACACACACAGACACACACACACAATGTAATATAATCCAATTAAGACTGAAGTACCAGGGAAGTAAAAGAATTCCACAATGCAAAGCAAAAAAAAAAAAAAAAAAAGCCAAGTGAGCCCACCATGGCAAAGGAGCAATGAAGCGTAATTTGCTCTGAGGGTACATGCTCTTATCTTACAGCTTACAGTTTGGGATCCCATCAACAAAAATAACAAGCAGAGGAAATTCAGCGGGTGACTTAGGAAGAGACAATAATCACAAAGTTAAGCGGTATTTTGATTTTGTTCTGGTAAGGCAATAAAAAGATAACTCTCCAGAATAATTCCTAACCATCAACCCTGACTCATGCATGTTTCTGGCCCAAATTCATATTGCTTTCTGGTCTGAAAATCCATATGCTTAAAATTTAGTTTAAATTGGTTCCAGGCTAGTAGGAGCAAACACAAAATGCCTCTGGCAGGATATTTTTTGAACTCAGATTTCAAATAATTCCCATATATGATGTGTTAAAAGAATATGACTTCACAAAATTAAGGAAATTTCTAAAAACATGAGGAAATAAGTTCCATGACTGAAAGTCAGCTGAAGGAGACATATTACAGGTGTGGACCTATAAAGACTGAACACATTAGCATGATCAGATATAGAATATAATGTAACTGTGTTCAATATTTTATTTTTTTTAAAGATCTATTTATTTTATTTGAAAGTCAGAATAATACACAGAGAGAAGGAGAGCCAGAAAGGCAGAGAGAGAGAGGCAGATCTTCCATCTGCTGCATCACTCCCTAATTGGCCACAATGGCTGGAGCTGCACCTATCTGAAGCCAGGAGCCAGGAGCTTCTTCTGGGTCTCCCTGCAGGTGCTTTCCCAGGCCATACAGAGAGCTGGGAAGTGGAGCAGCTGGGACTTGAACCAGCACCCATGTGGGATGCCGGCACTGCAGGCAGTGGCTTTACCCACTACGCCACAGCACCGGCCCCTCATTATATTTTAAATATTGAGGGAATTAAAGTATAATACAGGGTCAATAAACTATCAGTGTAGATTGAGATAATACAAAAATCAATTCCAAAAACAAAAATGTAGTCATAATAAAATTAGAATTTGATTTATGGGTTTAACATCCATTTAGATACAGTTAAAAAGAGAATGCATGAACTGGAAGACAGAGGTAAAGAAATTTATCATAATGAAACCAAAGACAAAAATTGAAATATGAAAGGAGGAGAATAGGTAAGGAGAAACATTTAGACGAAGATATAGTGTACATCCTATCTCAATTAACAATATCAACTAGAAGGAATGAAAGAGAAATAGTTCAGGTTAACAGCTTAGGGTTTTCCAGAAATGGCAAAAGACATTGCTCCTCAGATAAAGAAAAAAAGTGAATCCCAAAGAACATAAATTAAAATAAGTCAATACATGACTCACTGAAGTAAAAATACTGAATGTCAAAGCTAAATATGTCTTAAAACCATACAGAATGTAACAAAAGTGTAAACAAGTCACAGATAGCTGATATAACAAAGATGAAATAATAATGAATGGAATTAAATGTAACCTGATGTTTAAAATGCAGCAAAAATGTAATTCAAAAATAAGAGTGAATAAAGTTTTTTTTTTCAGACAAAATGGAGACTTGGTTGCCAACAGGTTTTATAAAATGAATTTCTAAAAGACAATTTCACGAAGAAAGGAAATGATTCTATTACCATCAAAGAATGTTGAAAAGATAAACATAGGGTTTATCTAAACACATTATAAATAAATTGTAAAAGTATGTAATTTATGGAATTAACATTCAAAACAAAATAGAAATTAAGTTGGAAAAGCTAATTTTGATTCATGCTCTTAAGTGCTTATAAGTATTTAGAAGAAGAGGAAAGCTCAAATTAATTCTATAACCAATTAAAAAAGAATGTGGGGTTGGCGCTGTTGCATAGCGGGTAAAGTCGTTGCCTGCGGTGCCAGCATCCCATTTGGGCACTGGTTCGAGTTCCAATACAGCTCTCTACTATGGCCTGGGAAAGCAGTGGAAGATGACCAAAGTCCTCAGGTCCCTGAACCCGTGTGGGAGACCCAAAAGAAACTCCTGGCTCCTGGCTTTGGATTGGCACAGCTCCGGCTGTTGTGGCCAACTGGGGTTTGAACCAGCATATGGAAGACCTCTCTCTCTCTGCCTCTCATTCTCTCTCTCTGTGTAACTCTTTCAAATAAATAAATAAATATTTTTTAAAAATGTAAAATTTCTAGGCTAGTTAAAATTACAAATATAATGTAAAATTTCTAAACACCAAAGGGAAATATATGTAATGGCACAGGAAGACACAATAGAAATATGAACCAATCAAAAAATGGCAAGAAATAAAAAAAAAATTAGAACATTAGAACATGTAGGAAAAATAAAATGTACAAAGAAAGAGGATAACCATGAAGCCAAGTGCATTAGCAAATAAAAGACTGCAAATGAAAAGATATTTCCAAGTGCCAGCATTGTGGCACACTGGGTTAAGCTGCACCGGCATCCCATATGAGTACTGGTTCCTCTCTGGGCTGCTCCACTTGGAATCAAGCTTCCTACTAAAGTGCACAGGAAAGCAGTAGTAGCCAGCCCATGTACTTGAGGCCCTGCCACCCATGAGGAAGACCCAGAAGGAGTTCCAGGCTGGTAACTTTGGCTTGGCCTAGCCCTGCACATTGCAGCAATTTGGGAAATGAACCAGCAGATAGAAGATCTTTCTCTGTAACTACCTGTCAAATACATAAAATAAATCTTTAAAAAAAGGAAGGATATTTCCATCAGTAAGAGGTGCAAAACTCCAGCCTCATAGTATTTTTCATGGACACAATCAAAATATAAGGACATGGAAAAGTTGAAAGTAAATGGATGAAAAAAACCACATAGATAAATACCATCCAAAACAAAGTTGGTATAATTATCAAAAATAGGCATTAAGGAAAAAAAATAGAGCTAGACTGAAGGATCACAACATTTTCATAAAATGATGGTAACATAATTCTAAGATTAAATACATCTTAAATATTATTTGAAAATATGTATAAAAAAAACAAAAGGGAGATTTTAGCATACTTCTCAGAGTAACTTATGGCTCAAGTAGACTAACATGAATAGAGAAGAACTAGACCCCACAATTAATGAACCTGATATAGCAGAATATATAAGACAACTGCAGAATTCTTTCAATGATCACTATCGACATTTGTGAATGCGACTACACAGTAAGCCATGATGTAAACATAAACAAATTTTGAAAAGCTGGTTTTCTATAGACTTCAGTCTATGAACACATTGCAGCTAACCTCTCTGTGCTTCAGTGGTGTTCACAAATAAAGGCAATCATAAATGTGCAAATTCTTCCCAATTCAACTTATATATCTAATAAATTTCAGGAAAACACAAAACTTTTTTTCCTCTCAGTGTTAACTGATAAGCTGAGTCTAAAATAGACAATAAAAAAATCAGTGTCATGTAGTCAATATGTTTTTGAAGAAGAAGAACTGGGCACAATGCTCAGACATCAAGACCTGTAACAAGCAACACTCAGAGGCACACACATAGAATAATGAGAGAGAATCTCAAACATGTGCATGCACATTTGATAGCCTGATATACAAGAGAGGTGGCTATGTAGAGGTTTTTCCATAAACATTGTTAGGATACGTACTCGTTCAGAACAAAGAATGAATGAAACGAGTCTCTTCTCATGCAGTACCACAAAGCCAATCACAGAAAATTTAAAACTTTAAAATGTTCAGAGGTAAATATAAAAAAAAAATGATTAAATAATTGGAAGTGAAAAGACTTCTAAAAAGACACATAAGGGGCTGGCACTGTGGCACAGTAGGTTAATCCTTCGCCTGTGGCACCAGCATCCCATATGGGCACAGGTTCTAGTACCAGTTGCTGCTCTTCTGATCTAGCTCTCTGCTATGGCCTGGGAAAGCAGTAAAAGATGGCCCAAGCGTTTGGGCCCCAGTACCCTAGTGGGAGACTGGAAAGAAGCTCCTGGCTTCAGATTGGCTCAGCTCTGGCCCCTACAGCCATTTGGGGAGTCAACCAGCAGATGGAAGACCTTTCTGTCTGTCTCTCCCTCTCACTGTCTGAACTCTACCTCTCAAATAAATAAATAAATTTTTTTTTTAAAAATAGACACATGAAGAAAATAATTTTGCTAGTGGAAAGGCAAGCCACAATTTTGATAGAAGTATTTTATAACAAATAACTTAATAAATGATTAGAGACTAGAAGAATAACCATACATCTCTATGAAAAAGACAAATAACTCCATGAGAAAAGGGTCCAAAGATACAAAGATGCGTTTCATAGAGAAAAACAAATGCCTAATACATACATACATATATACTCAACTGGCTAACAGGGTACATGTGGCAAAAACTGTGGTTTATAGCATTTGAGGATATAAATAACCCCACCACAGCTGATTTCAGGCTACCAACTTGATGTCACTGAACATATTGCTAAGGGATATACAGACACAGGTAGTAAAATTATCAAGAAAGTGATTAATACTATATCCAGGAAAATGGTTACCTAAAAGGGCTAGGAAGGAGGATGCAACTGGACATCGTGGGTCTTCAAAGGTATTAGCGACATTTTCTTTTCAAAAATTGTTTATTGGGGCTGGCATTATGGAATAGTGGGTTAAGCTGCTACCTGCAATGCCGGCAACCCATATGAGCGCTGGTTTGAGACCTGGCTGCTGCACTTCAGATCCAGCTCCTTGTTAATGCTCCTGGGAAGGCAGCAGAAGATGGCCTAAGTGCTTGGGCCTCTGCACCCTTATAAGAGACCCAGAAAAATCTCCCGGGTCCTGGCTTTGACCTGGCTTAGCCCTGACGATTGTTGTCATTTGGGGAGTGAAGCAGCAAATGGAAGATCTCTCTCTCTCTCTCCCTCTCCCTCTCTCTCTCTCTTTCCCTCTGTGTCTTTCTCATCTAACTCTGCCTTTCTAATAAATAAAATTTATTTAATCTATTTGAGATAAAGAGAGAAAGAGAGAGACAGACAGAGAGAAAGCGCATGTTCATCTGCCTCTTCACTCCCCAAATTCCTGCAGTGGCCATGTCTGGGCTGGGGGAGGAAGCCAGGGGTAAGGAACTTAATCCAGGTCTCTCCTATGGCGGTAGTAACCCAATTACTTGAGCCATCACCACTGCTTTCCAGAGTCTGCCCTGGCAGGAAGCTGGAATCAGGAGCCAGAGGCTGGAAGCGAATCCAGTCACACCAACATTATGGGATGAGGGCATCTTAATGGCTAGGTTAAATGTCAGCTCCTAGCAATGTTCTAATTCATAAGCTGGAGGTAGATTATTAAAAAGAGAGATATTAGAAAGGAAAATTAAAATGAAAAATAAAAATATGACACAAAACCAATCTTTTAAAAATAAATAATTGAAGCCTAAATCTGTAACATCTTGGTTAATGCCCTTTCGAGCAATCTGACATAGTTTTTAAAAGCTTATTTTTTGTTTCCACTGTTATTGGGGTTGGAAAAGGCTAAATGTTTAGATGCCCACTTCTAATATCTTTTCTTGGAAAAATGAAAACATTTGTTTTCAGAGCCAGGCTAACAGCTTAGTTTAGGATCTTACCATAAGAAATAGTATGAGACCCCCATCATACTAACAGAAAGGAAACCTGAATTCATTGTATTACCAGGCAGTTTAGAACAAAGAGCTGGGAACTGGAAGAGTGATTGCAAATAAAATAAGCTGAAAAAAACCTGAAAATTTTATGTGAGCTTCTTGAAAATTACATTATTTAAAAATAAAGTACAAAATATTCACTTTCCCTTCAAAAGTAACTATGATTATTATTTTAAAAATGTTTTAAATATTTTGATAATTCCCAAAAATATTTTCAGAATCAGGTTAAAGCTACAGAAATAATCATATATAAATGTAAATACTGGGTAAAAACTAACAAATGTATGAAATATTCTTTTTTTTAAAGATTTATTTATTTGAAAGTCAGAGTTACACAGAGAGAGGCAGAGAGAGATAGCAAGAGAGAGACAGACGGACAGAGAGACAGAGACAGAGATAGAGAAATATGTTCTATCTGCTGGTTCACTCCCTAAATGGCTGCAATGGCTAGGGCTGGATCAGACTGAAGTCAGGAGCAGGAACCAGGAGCTTCTTCATAGTCTCCCACATGGGTACAGGGGCGTAGGCATTTCAGCCATTTTTGCACTTCAGCCATTTTTGCTGCTTTTCCAGGCACGTTAGCAGAAAGCTGAATCAGAAGCGGAGCAGCTGGGGACTTGAATTAGCATCCATATGCGAAGCCAGCATTGCAGGTGGCAGCTTTACCTGCTAAGCCACAACATCAGCCCTTATAGTTATATCTTTAAGTATTGTTGCTTTCTCAAATGTTTTCCTCTTGGGATTCTGGTGTTACTAAAGGGAGAAAGGAAGTTCAGCTGTCTTGTGGAATAGAATTCGTTTAAATGGACACAAATGTGATTCTTAAGTGAAATTTTTAGATTTTCTTTAGTAATTTTACTTTTTTAAAAAAGATTTATTTATTTACTTGAAAGGCAGAGTTATAGGGAGGCAGAGGGAGAGAAAGAGAGAGAAGTCTCCATCCACTGGTTCACTCCCCAAATGGCCATCCTTTATTGCCTTCCCAGGCCATAGCAGAGAGCTGGACTGGAAGTGGAGCAGCTGAGACTCAAATCGGCACATATGGGATAACAGCACTGCAGGTGGTGGCTTTACCCACTACGCCACAGTGCCGGCCCCATAATTTTGCTTTTCTAAAATTAGTTTCATTTTTACTTAGTATATTTAAAATATTTAATTATGTTTAAATAAATAGTATCAAAATATTCAAATCTGCTTTATGTTTATGTGAAAGCTGATTTGATTAGAGGTCAACACTCATTGTATTCCTAAGTGAACAACTCTATGAAGTTACAAAATATCTATTTCAATTTTCTATCTTATTTCAATGAAGTATAAATGTATAGGTCTATTACGGTTTCTGAAGGCTATTCAGTGGATATAGTATGTACAATGTTAAAAAATTCATTTTTTAACACTTCATATTCATAAAGCAATTCACCTGGAAAGAAGTTCACAGTTTCTGTAATTCTGAAATTGGAAGATTATCTAATGAAGCCTAATTTAGTACATGTAAGGTTAAAAATCTCAAGTTCAAACTCTGTTTCTTTCCATTAATTATCTAGAGTCCTAGGCAAAAATTCCTTTTTTAAAGCATTTATTTATTTATTTGAAAGTCAGAGTTACACAGAGAGAGGAGAGGCACAGAGAGAGAGGTCTTCCATCTGGTGGTTCACTCCTCAACTGGCTGCAAAAGCTGGAGCTGCGTCGATCCAAAGCCAAGAGCCAGAAGCTTCCTCTGGGTCTCCCATGTGGATGCAGGGGCCCAAGGACTTGGTCCAACTTCTATTGCTTTTCCAGGCCACAGCAGAGAGCTGGATTTTAAGTAGAGCAGCCGGGTCTCTAACCAGCGCCTATATGGGATGCTGGCACTGCAGCCGATGGCTTTACCCACTAAGCCACAATGCCAGCCCCGGCAAAAATTCTTTAACTTGCACACTTCCTTGATGGCTCTAATCAAAGAGCAAAATACATTCCTATGTCCCTATTCTTCTATCCCCACAAGACAAATTAGTAAGTTTAGAAACAACAGGAGAAAATCAATGTAATCAATTAAACATTAAATAGTTACAGGAATTACTGCTTGACGTGAACAATGTTGACCAATGACCCAAATAGGTTTTGGGCACATGCATTTCCATCTCAAAGTTGTGTGGATAAAGGAAGGCTTACAGCCTTCACATTATCCCTTCATGACAGACACATCATCCTATCACTGAATAATAGAAGACAAACAGTGACCTAGTTTAGAAGTGCAGATGAAAAGAAAATGAAAACAGGATACATGACAACGGCAGGGAAACCATGGTAACTGGAAAAGAAGGCTGTTTTGCTTACTTTATTTTGGTCAGAATAATCAGCAAGCTGAGCCTTCAGCTCTGCCATCTCGGCCTCTAACAGACGGATCACTTCTTCATAATCCATTTCCATTCTGTGGGCCTGCCTCTGTGCAGCTTCAGCAAGATGAATCCTGCTTCGCAGAGCTCTTGTTTCTTCAACTACGGCTTTGGCTTCCTAACGGTTCATTAATGACATTGGACAAAAAGCAAAACAGAAAAAATAATTCAGGAGATTTTACAGAATTAGTTTCAAAATTTAATCAATATACATGTGTTTTTCACTTTTAAATTTGGACACTGATATTTATGTTATTTATTGTGTGGAATAGCTGTCTGTTCTCTTCTCCTTGTGTTGATTCATTGGGTAATTTTCATTGTGAAATTTCTAACTTTACACAAACCTAGAATAACATTTCAAAAATAAGGGAGGGAAAAGATAATTGAACATGGAAAATAGAAGACTAAGAATTGGTTCAAAAGGTAAAATGTGGAGGCTACTTGGGGCTGGTGCTGTGAAGTAGAGTAAAACTGCCGCCTGTGACACAGACATCCCATATGGGTGGACACTGGTTCGAATCCAGGCTGTTACACTTCCAATCTATCTCCCTATTAATGGCCTGGGAAAAGCAGTGGAGCATAGCCCAAGTGCTTGGGCCCCAATCACCCACACGGGAGAGTCAGATGTAGATCCTGGCACCTAGATTCAGCCTGGGTCAGATTTGGCCACTGCAGTCAGTTGGAGAATGAAGCAGCAAATGAGACCTTTCTCTCTCTCTCTCTCTCTCTCAAACAAATAAATAAATCTAAAAAAAAAAAAAAAATGAAGGCTACCACAAAACTCAAGCAGGTGGTAGGACTCATGTTCTAGGAAGTCTCTTGTATGCCTGTTAAATGCTGCTGAGAGATTTATAGTGTTTTGAGGTTTCTCTATGCCCAAGCCCCAGGGACCAAAGCTCTCTCCTGGACATCAGTCTAACTGCTACAACTCTCTTTTGGTTTAAACCAAAAGGTAGAATTCACACACACACACACACACACACACACGATACAATGCTCACATTTATTAAACACATGTTGTGTTTCAGGTGTTTTACATGCATTTCTCACTTAATCTTTAGAACAACACTGAGAGAAAGGCATTACTGAGAATTATTTTAGACATTAGCAAACAGATTCAGAGAAGTTACACGATTTGTTCAAGGATACACAGTAGCACCAGAATTTGAACCCCGGTCTGTCTGACTTCAACATTAAGCTTGGGGGCCGGTGTTGTGGCTCTGTGGGTTAACACCCTGGCCTGAAGCGCCCACATCCCATTTGGGTGCTGGTTCAAGACCCGCTGTTCCAATTCTGATCCAGCTCTCTGCTATGGCCTGGGAAAGAAGAAGAAGAAGGGCCAAGTGTGTGGGACCCCTGCATCTGCGTGGGAGACCTGGAGGAAGCTCCTGGCTCCTGGCTTTGGATTGGCGCAGCTCCGGCCATTGCAGCCATTTGGGGAGTGAACCAGCGGATGGAAGACCTCTCTCTCTCTGCCTCTCCTCTCTCTGCGTAACTCTTTCAAATAAATAAATAAATCTTTAAAAAAAATTAATGCTTTCTCTTCATTATTTTACTCTGCCCTTAAATAACAAACCAAATAAAACAAAACCCCATGTACTAGCTATACCTTCCTCCTTAGGAAGAGACTGGAACGGCCAAAACTACTTGCTGTCTCAAAATATGCCTTGGTGCTGGGTGAGAGACAGTATTTTAGGACACCAATAACATGTAACAAGCAGTTACCATTTCTCTTTCTTTACTTGATGTAGAAATCTCTCTTCTCTGCAATGGAAATTTCTGCTCCAATTGCCATGGCTAACATTAAGCTATGGCTATTTTAATTTTCTTAGAGCTATTATGGGACATTTGCTTTTGCTTGAGCCTAAATACATTTGAAGTGCAGAGATGGCTAGGTAAATGGATATACTCTTAAGGGTCACTTTTTCATTTAGCCATTCAATAACTATTTATTTATTTATTTTTAAAGATTTATTTTATTTATTTGAAAGACAGTTACAGAGAGAAGTAGAGACAGAGAGAGAGAGGTCTTCCATCCGCTGGTTCACTCCCCAGAGGGCAGCAATGGCCGGAGCTGCAGCAATCCGAAGCCAGGATCCAGGAGCTTCTTCTGGGTCTCCCATGTGGGTGCAGGGGCCCAAGAGCTTGGGCCATCCTCTACTGCTTTCCCAGGCCATAGCAGAGAGCTGGATCAGAAGAGGAGCAGCTGGGACTAGAACTGGCACCCATATGGGATGCTGGCGCTTCAGGCCTGGGCTTTAACCCGCTGTGCCACAGTGCTGGCCTCTTATTTTTAAGATTTATATATTTATTTGAAAGGCAGAGTCACAGAGAGGCAGAGGCAGAGACAGAAATGTCTTCAATCCACTGGTTCACTCAGCAAATGGAAGCAATGGTTGGATCTGAGCCCATCTGAAACCAGGAGCCAGGAGCTTCTTCTGAATCTCTCACATGGGTGCAGGGGCCCAAGGACTTGGGCCATCATCTGTTGCTTTTCCAGGCACATTAGCAGGGAGCTGGATCAGAGTGGAGCATTTGAGATTTGAACTGGCGCCCAACTGGGATGCTGGCTGCAGGTGGCGGCTTTATCCGCTGCACCAGAGCTAGCCTCTCAATAACTATTTATTAAGAACTTACTATGTGCCAGATTCTGGGATAAGCATTGAACAAAAAGTCTTCTCTTTTGCCTCTCAGAATTTATGTTCCATTTTGGGGCAGGAGAAGACAGTAAAGTAGGGATTTCCAGGGAAGATCCAATGAGATTTCTTATCAGAGACCTATAGGAAGAATGAAGCCAGGACCCCCCAAGGAGGAACTTTATGGGTAGAAGGAAGTTGATACAGAGGCCCTCAAATAGGATTGTGATTTGTATCTTTAGAGAATAGCATGGAGGCCTGTGTGACAAAAGTACACAGAGGCCAGGGACAGTGGTAACAGGAGTACAGGAGGGAGTTGTGGTAGATCTTGAACGGATCCGTGGGCAACTGTAAGGGCTTTGGTTTCACTTAGCGTGCGATGAGAAGTGACTGGAAGTTTTGAGAGAAGTGATGTAATCTCAATTATAAGCCACTTCCACTGGTGTGCTGAGAAGTGACTGTAAGGATGGGCAAAGTTGGAAGCTGAGAAGAAGGAAGGGAAAAGGCAAAATGTAATTATGGCTTGGACAAAGGTGATAGTGGTACGGATGGTGTGAATTGGTTAGATTCTAAACATAGCCTGAAAGTAGAGCTAACATATTATCTCAGCAACATTTATTTAGCAGTTACGCATCTGAACAACTATATTTTCTGATAAAAACTCAAAGAGGTAAAAGGTAGCTCCCCCCACCCCTTTTTGGCTCAGCTTAGAATATTAGGTATGACAGACAAACAGATGAAGGGAAGGGAGTACACTTCCTTCAAAAAGAACAACATGAACAAAAGAACAGAGAAGGGGGACTGTGGCACAATTGAGAAAGGACATTAGACAAATGTTGACTAGAAGAAAGGCTTGCTAAAGGGGGTAAAAGATAAAGAAAGCTGGTGAAAAGCAAAGCAAGAAAAGGGCCAGGCTCTTGTAGAAACAGCATGACAGGCAAAGGGGCCTGAATCTGCGGGAAGATCATAAGCTTTCATGGCAGAAAATGACAGGAGAGGGTGCTTTAGAGACATTAGTCTGGGAGTAGCCTACTGGATGAAGAGATGCAACCAACATATAGCCTTCTTTACCGTCATTCAGAAAGCTTCATGAGTATCTCCTCCTTGTATCTGAAAGTAATTATCTTACAATAGAAAGGTGCTTTTGGGGCTGGTGCTGTGGTGCAGCAGGTTAAAGCCCTGGCCTGAAGCGCCAGCATCCCATATGGGCGCCGGTTCCAGTTCTGGCTGCTCCTCTTCTGATCCAGCTCTCTGCTATGGCCTGGGAAAGCAGTGGAAGATGGTCCCAGTCCTTGGGCCCCTGCACCCACGTGGGAGACCCGGAAGAAGCTCCTGGCTCCTGGCTTCAGATTGGCATAGCTCCGGCTGTTGTGGCCATCTGGGAAGTGAACCAGCGGATGGAAGACCTCTCTCTCTCTGTCTTTACTTCTCTCTGTAACTCTGTCTTTCAAATAAATAAAATAAATCTTAAAAAAAAAAAAAAAAAGAAAGGTACAGGCCGGTGCCGTGGCTCAATAGGCTAATCCTCCGCCTTGCGGTGCCGGCACCCCAGGTTCTAGTCCCGGTTGCCCCTCTTCCAGGCCAGCTCTCTGCTATGGCCTGGGAGTGCAGTGGAGGATGGCCCAAGTCCTTGGGCCCTGCACCCACACGGGAGACCAGGAAAAGCACCTGGCTCCTGCCTTCGGATCAGTGCGATGCGCTCTCCACAGCGCGCAGGCCACGGCGGCCACTGGAGGGTGAACCAACGGCAAAAGGAAGACCTTTCTCTCTGTCTCTCTCTCTCTCACTGTCCACTCTGCCTGTCAAAAAAAATTTAAAAAAAAAAAAAGGTACTTTTAGAAATAAATATCTAGGAAGAAAGGGATATCTAGCCCACTACATCAGCCAGCTCTATTCAGGTGGCCAAGAGTCAACCTCACTTAAGACTAATGCTGTGCCTCAGAAGGTAAGAGCCTGTAAGTTCCAGCACTATTCTAAATGTTCTATATGGACCAACTTGGCTAATCTGCACAGCATGATAGAAGATGTCTATTATTCGTCTCCTCCTATCCTCACTTCATATGTAATACACTGAGCACAGACAGGTTCAGTAACTTGCTCAGAGCCACAAACCTAGTAAGAGTTAGGATAGGAAACCAGGCAATTTGGCTACAAAGATTGCATTATTGGCTATTATGCCATACTACCTTGCCAACTACAGAAAATTAAACCAAAAAAATCACAGTGCAGGAGTTTGGTCGAGTGGTTAAAAAGAAGGTAAAAGCCGGCACCGCAGCTCACTAGGTTAATCTTCCACCTGCGGTGCCGGCACACTGGGTTCTAGTCCTGGTTAGGGCATTAGTTCTGTCCCGGTTGCTCCTCTTCCAGTCCAGCTCTCTGCTATGGCCTGGGAAGGCAGTGGAGGATGGCCCAAGTGCTTGGGCCCCTGCACCTGCGTGGGAGACCAGGAGTAAGCACCTGGCTCCTGGCTTTGGATCGGCGC